AATTGTTTGAGGAATACAAGTGGACACTTGAGACTTCTGTCTTGTATAGGAAACCACAGGAAAGGCAACTTTCACATGCAATCAAACCAGTGTATTTGTTGTACAGGCTCCTAGGAAGTTCAACAGGGGAAATGTTTTAATTGACATGAACAACAAGTTTGCACAGCAAATACTGAAGATACAAAGGTTTTACGTTTTTATTGACCATTAGAGGGTTGCTACCAGCCCTCGGAAATTCTCATTTCTGTAATTTGAAGCATGTATATCTCACAAGTCAAAGCAGAGAAGAAAAAAGCAATGTAAAACCACTGCAGTTGCAGGGGAGTGGAGTCCCTAGTGCATTCTCCAAAAGCCACTGGGCTGTCCGAGATTTACGATTTGTGTCTTACTCATCCAAGGGAAGACTCTTCTCACTTCCTTCCACTGCTGGAGTTGGTTTTCAATTAGTGAGCCAGGATTACCTTGGCAGAATCAACAAGCAAGACCTCATTTGTGCAAATCCCAATACTGCAGTTCATTACTGGAAAGCCTGGCAGTTTTCAAACCTCCCTGGTTTTTGGAGCTCATTTTTTGGTCCAAGACTGGTATGCACCCCCATACAGCAAATTTAAGCCTACTGGCAACAGATACACTTTTAAGTATCTTCCACAGATTCTTCAGAAATAACCCGCATATGTCTATGCCCTCCCCAATAATTTCATGCTGAAAACCAGGGTCCCTCCCAATGGGATGACAATGGTGTGAAACCTGAGCCCTGTCACTGTGAGCCACATCCAGAACAGACAGCAGAAACATCAGCCTTCCACAGACCTTCTGTACTCTGAATTACTCTGAGCTTGAATTCAGAACAGGATAAATAACAAAACACAGCCTCATATCTACTACTCTATTCTCATTTGCTCGGAATAACTCTGCTACATAAGAAATGGCGATGTCAAGTGGAAATACTGAATACAGCTATTGTCTACCCTACAAACTGCCACAATGTTTTTCCACTATTCTCTCCAATCAGTATGGCAACCAAACAAAAAGAGATATGTATGGACAAGACACCACTGAAGCCAGTCTGGGAGAGAAAAAAATAATTACTAATAGTCTGAATATTCTGAAAACACATTCATCTTCCCCACCTCCAAAGGAAAGTTAATAGAACTAGCAAACGTTCACACTTCATTCCTTTGAAAATAAATGTATACCTCCTCCACAGCATATGCAGGCCTAATAAAAAAATGAAAGTTTTTCAAACCAAGCATTTTCACACTGTCTTGATTTTCTTTTATGCACACACCTGCCTGATGCAGGTGTGATTTCTGTCCAGACCACTACTGAAGTTTGGTGTTGTTGCTCAGGAACTTTTTTTCAGGTCCTGAGGTAAAAAATCCAAGCACTCTCCTCACAATAACATAACTAAACATGAACAATGCACTGAAACTTGCAAATGCAAACAAAAACTCTGAAGTGAGACAAGATGACCCCTCCCACACTGTGGAGGGCACAAAATAGAGAAATCAATATTCCCTTTAGGCGACTCCTCGGTTTCTGTAGATTTAAATACAATGAGGGAAACTGCACGTGGTTTACAAACTAACTGCTTGTTTTTGTTTGGAGATGTGAATTTTAGCACCATAAATCGTGGGTTGGAAGGACTACAAGGAAGGAGTTACTTGCACACCGAATCTGTGGCTCCAGAGGGAAAAAAGTTGTTGATTTTTTTTTAACACCATGAAACTTCCCACTGATGTAGAAGACACACATTTACATGTATGGCTTTGGTAGTTAGCAGGATGGGATTCCCAATACCTATTTCTCCAAGCAGTTCTGTTAGCTCCCTGGAAGAAAATAAGCCTTCTAGTTACAAAAATTTTCTCCTAATTTGAAAGCCTTCCCAGCTGGATACCTCCAGGAGTACACACGACTCTAAAAAATTTAGAAATAAAATGTTCAGTGATGTCACCCATGTGGATCAACTTTGACAAGCCAAATGAAACTGCAGACCAAGGAAGTATAAAGTAACTTAAAAAGTTTCATGCAAACAGACACCTCAGTACCCAAAGTATATCCCACTTGTCTGCAGAGGCAGCAGCACCACTTGCTTAGTGGGTACCAGGACTCCAGCCAGACATGAGGACTCTGCTTCCCTCTCAGCCACTAGCCTGGTGCAGGATGGTAGCCAAGGATGCATCTCCTTAACATCCCAGGTCACTCAGGCACAGAAAGGAAATTCCTGCACTAATTCATGTAACAAGTGCAGAAGTTCATTAGCAGAGATTAATGGATCTGTCTTCTTTCTTCTGCAAGAATCCCACACTTCAAAAGAACCCCAAAACATTTTCAGTAAGACTGCACTCCATCCCCAGGGGCTCATCACGTTCAGACACACACAACAAAGGCTTTTCTGCACTTGCTGAGCACCTCACAAAAATTATTATGACCCATTCTCCAAGATGCAGTGGTTTCCAAGCCTTTCATCTGCAGGCCTCAGAAGATTTTCCAGCAGACATGCAACTACTGGCAAGAGTGGTTAGGGTAGTAGATCCTAGTTTGATTTCCCCCGTTCTACAAAAGCAGTAAAAAGGCCACAAAGTGAGAAGCTGAGTAACCCCCCATTTCTTGCAGTCTATTTTCACCCAACCTAAGCAACATTTATCCCTAAAGACGAAGATTTTAAAAATTGACAAAAAACTTTTGTCTGAAACCAGAGATTGTGTTTAATCCCACTAAAGTACCAATCAATGGCAAACAAAATCTTCTACCAGTGTGAGCTGTGCCTCTTTAGTCCAGAAAAGAGAAGACTGAGAGAGGACCTCATCAACACATATAAATACCTCAAGGGTGGGTGCCAAGAGGATGGTGCCAGACTCCTTTCCATGATGTCCAGGACAGGATGAGAAGCAATGGCCATAAACTAAAACACAAGAAGTGGCAGAGCACTGGAACAGGCTGCCCACGGAGACTGTGGAGTCCCCTTGTCTGGAGACATTCAAAACCCACCTGGATATGTTCCTGTGTGGACCTGCTCTAGGTGACCCTGCCTTGGGATGGGAGGTAGACGAGATGATCTCCAGAGATGCCTCCAACCCTAGCAACTCTGTGATTCTATGGTGGAAAATTTGTCAGTTTCCTCTTCAGTGGAGGAATTTCTTCCTAATTGTAATATTAAAGGGAAAAAAAGTAATTAAAACTCAAGGCACAATTGCTGTTGTGTTTGTGAAGTAATATCCAAAGCACTTTTCTTCTCCTGTTTTCACTTGAATTTTCACCGACTTTTTACAGCAGAATCACAGAATAACATGATCTAGAAGTGCCTTCAGTTATCCTGGTCCTCCTTCCCCAACAAAACAGGAAAACTTGACTTGGGCTGTTAAGAGGCTTGTCCAGCTGAGTGCTGAGTTCTGAATATCTGCAAGGACATCCCAACCTCCCTGGGTAGCCTGTTCCAACACCCAACTCCTCTCACATTATTTTTTTTTTCCTGATATCTCAGTGGAATTTCCCTTGTTGCAACTTTTGTTTGTTGTCTCTTGTCCTACTGCCTCTCCATACTCTTTCACTAGTTAACTAAAGATGTGGGATAGTTTTCCCATAAGGAAAAGCAACACACACACACAGGGCTGTATTCTTAAAATGTTCATGAAGTATGGACACATAAAAAAGGATTTCCAGCTAATTTTTCTGAAATACATGAACTGTATTTTTGTTTGTAACCTACCATTGTCTCTTACGGCTCGTACCTCTGCAGCATGTACCACCAAAGCCTCACCTTCACACACAAGTAAAGCAGATCAGCCAATGTGGTAAAAACTCACACCACAAAATATCTTCCTAGTTGTAATCCTCCTATACTGAAAAACACTCAGGTTTTGTTCCCTATTCCATATCACAGAATATACCTATATGGTCTTTAAGGTCCCTTCCAATCTAAACCAATCTTGCCGCTACGCGAAGGAAACACCTTCCACTAGACCAGGCTGATCAAATCCCCATCCAGCCTGGCTTTGAACAATGCCAAGAATGGGGCATCCACAGCTGTTCTGGGCAACCTGCTCTGGTGCCTCACCATTCTCAGTGAAGAATTTCTTCCTAACAGCTAAACAAAATCTGCCCTCTTTCAGTCTGAAGTCATTCCCCTTCTCCTACCACCACCTGAATTAGTCCTGCCAGCCTAAGCCTATTGACCTCACGATAAACTCTTTTTCACACAACTTCTCTGCTGAGCAGGGAGACAACATTTAGCCATGTGGACGCTGGCTACAAAGAAAAACCACGTGTAAAACTGTGGTCAGCATGAGGGTGAGAACTACAGGCCACAGCGCGGGGCTTACACCCGCTCCACCGGGGCATCTCCTTCGGGGTTACGCAGGCAACCAGCCTGGCAAAACACCAGAGTGAGCTCGAGTGTCTGAGCGCTGCTGCACTGACCCTGCTAAGCACACCCTTCTCTCCAGACTCCAACCTCCTGCACAAGGATGGATGCTTGGCTCACAAAGTGCATCTGGGGGTTTTGGTTGCTTTGTTGGTTTTTTTTGTTTTATTTTTTAGGTTTTTTTTTAAACCAGCATCTTCTGCTGTGGGCCATCCGTACCCCGTTTCTCCTCTCCGGGCACAGCACTCGGCGGGGAGGCGCTGACAGCTCGGGGCGGCAGCGCCCGAGCTCCCCCGGTGCGACCCACTCCGCTCCAGGCCGACCCGGCGGCCGGAGGAGCCGGCACACGGCGCTCTGCCGCGGCCAGCGGGCGCACAAAGAGCCGCCCCCGGCGCTGAGCAAGCCTGAGGGGGCTCCGCTCCGGCCAGCCCGAACTTGCGGCGGGGCGCGCCGCCGGCCGGTCCCGCTCGGGTGTCAGCGCTCAGGGCGCCGCCTGCCCAGCCCGCCCGGCAGCCCCGGCCTCCGGCCGCCCCAGCCCCGCCGCCGTGTCCCCGGGGCGCACGGAGGCCCCGGCCCGGCCGCCACGGGGGATGAGGGAGAGCCGCAACAAGTCCCCGCCGCCGCCGGCCGCCCTTACCCAGACAGTGCCGCAGGGCCAGCAGAAAGTGCGGGGGGCCCCCGTTGAGCTGGTAGAAGAGGGAGCCCAAACAGAAGAGCAGCAGGGTGGCCATGCAGAAGACGTAGTCGCGCAGCGAGAGGAAGGGCAGCAGCGAGAGGGGCCGCCGCCTCACCGAGCCCCCGCCCTGGCCCGGGCCCCCTCCCGCCGCCGCCGCCGCCGCGGGGGGCCAGGGCGCCGGGCACTCCCCGCCGCCGTGCTGCTGCTTCTTCTTCATCCTCCCCTTCGCCGCCGCCGGCTCACGCAGCCCGCCGGGGAAAGCGCATCCTCCATCCGCCTGCCCGGCTCCGGCTGCCCGCGGCCGGGAAAGTTCCCGGGAGCTCAGGCGATCCGTCCCGTCCCCATCGCCGGCTGGCCCCGGCTCCGCGGCAGGCGAGAGTCCCCGGCGCTCCTACGGCGGCGGCTGCTGCTGCTACGGAGCGCCGCTAAGGGGAGGGGAAGGAGGTGGTCACCATCCCGCTCCCTGGGGCTCCTCTCCTCCTCCTCCGCCGCCGCTCTTGCTCCCTCTCTCCGCTCGGCCTCTCGCCCCGGTGTCAAGTTACAGCCAGCGCTCCGCCGCCGGCCGCCTGCAACTCGCGGCCGACTTATGCGGACCTGCGGGCGCCGCCGCCGCCCGGCCCCGCACCTGCCCCGGCCCGCCGCGCCCGACACCGCGCCGTGCCGGGCAAAGTGCAACGCGGCGTGAAGGTCCGCTGCCTTAGCATCGTGTGACATCGTTTGTGGGGGACAGAGGGGACCGCTCTTCTCCTTGCCGCCTTGCTGGGGTGATTAAAGCAGAGATGTTGTCCGCTGGGGACAAGGCATTAGACAAGTACAGAAAATACAAAATTAAGATTACACACAGAACCATAATTTGACCCCACTGTACATATAGCTTATGATACAGTCTCTGACCCCACTGTACTTATAGCTTATGATACAGTCTCTGATTACTCAATCATGCTGTTTTTCCTAGACAGCCACTGGCAGGTGAATGGCATTCAGTCAGCACTGAGCTGTGTAATAGTTTCATCCTCTTCATGCAACATACGTTCCCGATGTGTCCTGATGGCTTATTTGGAGCTATTCTTGTTCTTGGGCATTGTCTGATGTAGAAATATGTTTCATTCCCCATGCGCCTGTGTTGCCAGCACAGCAGTGGAGGCAGGAGATCTTGGGGTGGTAATGTTGGTTCACCATTTTATTTTATGGACATTGCATTATGATACAGTCTCTGACCCCACTGTACATATAGCTTATGATACAGTCTCTGATTACTCAATCATGCTGTTTTTCCTAGACAGCCACTGGCAGGTGAATGGCATTCAGTCAGCACTGAGCTGTGTAATAGTTTCATCCTCTTCATGCAACATACATCCCCGATGTGTCCTGATGGCTTATTTGAAGCTATTCTTGTTCTTGGGCATTGTCTGATGTAGAAATATGTTTCATTCCCCATGCGCCTGTGTTGCCAGCACAGCAGTGGAGGCAGGAGATCTTGGGGTGGTAATGTTGGTTCACCATTTTATTTTATGGACCTGGCTGGAATCAGGGGCTTCCCAAGATCCTACTCATGGCATTGTATGAGACTCTTCATTTCAAAGAAACAGAAAAATTCTATTCGCTGTGGTTTGTAAGAAAAATTGGAACTCAGAAGCCAAGTGCAACTCACCATGTAAGAAATTAAAAAGCAATCACACTTTTCCTTTTAAGGCTTAAATAAAAAGAAGTATTCTGGTTTAGAAGACCTGACTCTAATCTTTTCACACATACAGCTGGAAATTTTGCTCAGGAGACTGAATTCAGATGTTTTCCCACTTGCCCTGAAAGGCTTGGGTAAATGCTGCGTATGCTACCGACTTTGATTTTTTTGTTGGCAGCCAGCAGCAAAGGGTAAAATATGGAAATTAATCTTGCTGATGTGCATAAGAGGATGAAGACAGAGTCAAACAATAAAGAACCATTCCCATTACATTCCTTGATAAAAATACTGCCATATTGCCTGAAAAAAACAACCCTTAGTTTGGAGAGGAATCTCCTTGTTTTAGTACACAGTTCTACAACATTAATGCACAGATGCTCCACAGTCTTATATGAAACCTGTAGCAAAGGCAAAGTGAGGTATGACATATCATTTCTGAAAAAGAGAAAGTAACAGGATACAAAAAAATCAGCCGACTCTGGGCTGAAGCTTTAGGGCTCCAGTTCCCTTAAAACAAAAATAGCCAACACCTTTCACCAGATAAAGTCATAATCTAATTTCATGGTTAAACTACCACTTCTTAATTCTTATGAATATTTTTTTGAAACACTTAGGAAGTACTGGGGGCCTACTTACCATATTCTGCTTCCATGAATGTTTGAATGTTTTATATTCTTTTGAATACTTCAGTATCTCCTGTCTTGTTTGGATGACGACATTGCAGATTTGGTTAATAGTGTTAGTTGCTTTTGCAGATGAGAAACAGATAAGCTCTTACACTGAATGTTTGAGAAAAATGGATGCTTTGATGAGAAGACAGACAACACCTGTAAGGTGAATCAATAAATTTTTATTTTTCTGTTTGCAAAGAATGTCTTTGATCTCTAGGCAGAGATTAAAAAAGAAAAAAGGATGGAAAAAGGGACCAATCAATGGAGCAAAATTTAAGTGGGATGGCTGTATTGTTGAGAGTTCTTACCATATTTCTAAGCATCAACAGATAAAAAAACCCATATCTTGGGAGGAAGAAGAAATAGAAATCTCTGTTGTTGAAACATATGCTTAAACATGTATATTAGCTGTAAAATTATTTACTTTAACATATGGGAACTATCACACCTATTATTACAATTCCTAGCTAGGGCAATGTGCAGGAAAATAAATAAAATATACTTTGTGCTATAGCTTGATACAATGAAACTGTTTTCCTATTTTTATTTTTCCCCTATTATTCATCCACTTAAAAAAACCCAAAAAACCAAACAAACAAAAAAACAACAGTATGATTTTGCATGCATGGTGTAAAGCAATTTATATATATATCTCCTTAAATTATTATGTTCTGTTCACACAAGAACCCCCAAAGAATTCAAAACACAAGCCGCACATGAAAGAAATATTATGATTTAAAAGCCAAGTATTGACACTTGAGGGTAGGCCAAAGGTAAGAGTTTTCAGACAAGCTTGTTTTGGCTTGTAGAGGGTATGACTTAAAATTTAGCCTTTAATTGTGTGATGTTACTGTTTTGCTCAGAGGACCACTGCCTTATAGAGTGCATGGGACAGACATTGTGCAGCCTTTCAGTTTATGTTTAATCTCTTTGTTCAGCATATGTGCTCAGGCTTTGTTTAAAGCTGTTTAATCCTGCTTGTAATGTGGAATTATTGACATCATAGCAGGGTTTTCTGCAGCATTTATTGTTACACTACCTTGAGCATACAATGAATGCTTATGAATTACGTTCATGAGATGTAGGAAATATCAACATTTTACTTATTGGGAAATGAGACAGAGAGATTAAGGATAAATATGCCTATTAATTTTGGTTGCCAACCTTGAAATGACTGGGGTTTGCCTTGGTGAAATAGTTAGCATGACACAGTGCTTTTGAAGCACAGCTCCCTTGGACTTCAGATGCAGCTGTGAATGCTAACCACTACATATCAGACCCCAGGCTCTCAAAGCTAGCACCAAGTGTAAAAAGAGCACTCGGCGGCCACCTGTAGTTCAAGCAATGCACCTGACATCATGTAGGAGTGCTCTGGGGCTAGCAGACACAGAATCAATCATTTTCAGAGTGGTATTCACTGCAGCAGTCCTCATCCTCTGCTTGCCCTGACCTTGTGATGCTGTTTTTCCTCACCCTTCTAGATCTGGTCTCAGCTCCAAGATCTTTGTCCAAATCTGTTTTCTTCCATGACCTCATCCAGACTAGGTCCAGCTTGTGCTCAGACTGAATCCCCCTCCCTGGCTGCAACAGTTTTAGCAAGGAGGACACAGTGAGCACGGAGGCACTTACCCCGGGGCTGGAAGAGGACACTCCTCTGTACAAAGGAACAGAGAGCATAGCTGCCCAAAATTTCCAAGTGAGTCCACATTCGAACTGTGCTAGATATTCCTGTACTGAATCATAATTACAAATGCACGAATTCAGAAACAAGTTCAATGAGAGAGATAAAGAGTGCAAGGATGTTGTGTGTCTGGAAGTTGTGTTCTTTGCAGAGAGAAGACTCATTTGGCCAGATCAGGATGGGTTACATATTGGCTGGTCAGGTCTGCTAGGCAAAACATATGTTTCTTATTCCTAGGAACATCTGAACACATTTTTTTTTAATTATTATTTTCTAAGTAAATTCTTGAAGTAATCAAAATTTCTCAGCTGTTATGTTTCAGAGTTGGCAGTTGGCAAAGGTATAAATAAATAGAAAGGAATAAGATACAGACAGGGCCCTAGTTTTCACAAGACAGGAAGGATAGAAGAAATCTAGATATAAGGCTTCACTAGTAAAGGACTCACTGGTATAAGAGAATGACATAATGTAATGTCATCTGGGAAGCACCCATGAAAGATTTCAGATTTCAATTCCTCCATCACTCTGCGATTCAGAAAGGGCTCAGAGTATTACAGAGTAATTGATGGCAACTATGCAAGCTTTATTTTGCTTTATTCAGCACCAGGTGATAATTTGATGAAGATGAAATAAGGATGCACCATACTCTTTCATTTAATTCATATAGAACTCTTTCAAGTGTAATCTGCCTTGGTTGAACTGGAATTGCAGCTCTGTGCTGGTGGTATTCATTTCTGTCCTTTTTGGAAGGTTCAGGAATATATATGCCTATGAAAAATATGATAGTAAATATCAGAAGACAGGGAAATGAGCTTGTGTGCCAGATTGATAAAATTTAGTGACATTCTGATGGAGCAGGTCACTGCAGAAGATAAATTTATAATTTGTAATTGAAATGGTACTTGGAATTACCTTAGCATGTTCTATCAATATCACTTGGAGTATGATGGATTTTCACAAGGAATTTGTATTAATCCTGTAGCATAGCTGGCTGTCTCCATCAATGTGCTACTTACAGGGCCATCTTAAGTCCTGATACCATTGTTTTTATTTGTTTGGTTAATTTTCTCAGAAAATGAGCAACAAGAGAATTCAGCCAGATTGCTTTCCTTTTTAGTCAGCATGCATATCATTCAGAAGGGGCAGTCAAAACTAGATAGAAAAGAGGCTGTTCTCTAACATACGGTCTTCATGATCAATCCTTTCCCCTGATAAATATCCACTCAGAACACCCAAACTGTGTTCTCTTTGTTTTTGTGTCCTCTTTGTATTGATTTTCAAACAGCAGTCTAATTCCTGCATTTGTCTGCAGAAACTACTAATAGAGAGGCAGAAGTTTCAGTGTGTAAACATGACTTTTCACTCAACAGACCCATTAAAAGCTACATTTGTTTAGACAGTTAACAGAGTAACACCATATGATGGACTGGACAGATTTAGATGGATAAAGATGGAGAGGGTCACACAGGGAAAGCACAGTACTGGTGCTAATTAGACACCAATTAAAGTAGATAGGCAGGAATGTCTA